ATAACCCAGTAGTTTTTGAGCAAGGTGTTGTTCAGTTTCCATGTGTTTGATTTTTTTTCCTTGCTTTTTCTGTTATTGATCTCTACTTTTATGGTTTTATAGTTAGAAAGGATGCTTTGTATTATTTCGATGCTTTGGATGCTGTTAAGGCTTTAGTTATTCTATTAAGCTTTATGGCCTAATACGTGATCTATTCTGGATAATGTTCCATGTGCGTTGGAAAAGAAAGTATACTTGGCTGCTGTTGGGTGGAGTGTTCGGTATATGTCTATGAGATCAAGTTGGTTGATTGTCGCATTTAGCTCTTCCATGTCTTTATTGAGCTTTTTTTCTGGATAGTCTGTCCTTCACTGAAAGTGGTGTGTTGAAGTCTCCTACTATTATCGTGGAGCTGTTTATCTCTCTTTTCAATGCTGATAGAGTTTGGTTTATGTATTTTGGAGCCCTGTTGTTGAGTGCATAAATATTTATTATGGTTATGTCCTCTTGGTGTATTGACTGTTTAATCATTTTATAGTGTCCTTCCTTATCCTTTGTGGTGGATTTTAGTTTAAAGTCTATTTTGTCAGAGATTAATATTGCCACTCCTGCTCTTTTTTGAGTGTTCTTTGCTTGATATATTTTTTCCATCCTTTGAGTTTTAGTTTGTGTCTTTAAGTCTAAGGTGTGTCTCTTGTAGACGGATTGTGTTCTTTTTTTATCCAATCTGCCACTCTTTGTCTTTTTACTGATGCATTTAGTCCATTTACATTCAGTGTAATTATTGATAGTTATGAGTCTAGTGCTGTCATTTTGATGTCTTTTTTTGTGTGTATCACTGACAGTTTCTTTGTTCCACTTAATTTTCTGTGCTGAGTCGTTTTTCTTTATGTATTTTCTTTTCATCTTTTTCATCATAGTTCATTTTTTACTTGCTGAGTCTTTATGTTTTTCTTGTTTTTTATTTTGATGTGTAGGATTGTTAGTTTCCTTTGTGGTTACCTTAATACTTACCTCTATTTTTCTAAGTTTAAACCAATCTTTTATTTCTTTATCACTTTGACTTCCTCTCCATAGGAAAGATCTATGACTACATTTTTTAGTCCCTATTTTTTGTTTTAATTTTGTCATCTTTTACATATTGATGTCTCTGTTTTCGTATTTTCAGTGTTTTAAGCTTTGATTTATTTTTGTGACTTCCTTATCTGCGTTGATATCTAGTTGCTCTGTCCTGTGTTCTAGTCTTCAGTTGTTATCTGTTGTTATTGATTTTCTAACCAGAGGACTCCCTTTAGTATTTCTTGTAATTTTGGTTTGAGTTTTGCAAATTCCCTAAACTTCTGCTTATCTGGAAATGCCCTAATTTTGCCATCATATTTCAGAGACAGTTTTGCTGGATATATAATTCTTGGCTGGCAATTTTTTACTTCAAGGCTTTATATATGTCATCCCATTGCCTTCTTGCCTGCATGGTTTCTGCTGAGTAGTCCGAGCTTATTCTTATTGACTCTCCTTTGTAGATGACTTTTCGTTTATCCTCAGGTGCTCTTAAAATTCTCTCTTATCTTTGGTTTTGGCAAATTTGATTATAATATGTCTTGGTGACTGTCTTTTGGGATCTACCTTATGTGTGGTTCAATGAGCATCTTGGATAGATATCATCTCATCTTTCACGCTATCAGGGAAGTTTTCTGCCAACAAATCTTCAACAATTCTCTCTGTATTTTCTTTTATCCTCCTCTCTTCTGGTACTCCAATCACTCGTAGGTTATTCCTCTTGATAGATTCCCACATAATTCTTAGGGTTTCTTCATTTTTTTAAAATTCTTTTATCTAATTTTACCTCAGATAAATTGGTGTCAAGTGCTTTATCTTTAGTCTCACTAATTCTGACTTCAATTTTCTCTGTTCTGCTCCTATGACTTTCTATTGAGTTGTCTAATTCTGAAATTTTATGTTAATCTTCTGGATTTCTGATTGCTGTCTCTATATGGATTCTTGCAGCCTGTTAATTTTGTCATTATGCTCTTGTATTACCTTGTTAAATTCCTCTATTGCGTTGTCTGCGTGTTTCTTGGCTTGTTCTGTTTTGCATGATCTACTTCCTGATCCCTTGAAGAGTACATATATTAATCTTTTGTATTCTACCTCCGGTAATTCCAAGAAATTCTTTTCCTCCAGAAAATTTCTTGAATCTTTGTTTTGTGAGCTTGCTGAAGCCATCGTGGTCTGCCTCTTTATGTGATTTGATATTGACTGTTGTCTCTGAGTCATCAATAAGTTATTATATTTATTTATTTTATGTTTGCTTCCTGTGTCCTAGCTTCTTGTTTTGTTTTGTTTTGATTTGCCCAAACAAGCTGCTTGTGTGAGCTAGTTTGATTATTGGCACCTTTGAAGTTCTAACGTCTTGTCACCAGATGGTTAGGTCTGTTGCTAGGTATGTGAGCCCAGGAGTCTGTTTACTTTTCTTGTATGGATTCAGCTCGGTGTCCACGTAGTCGGTCACCATGTGTGTGGTGCAGGCTCTCACCTACAGTCCTAGACAGGCAGGGGTGATTGGTGTAGGCACAGGTATCTGGCTGCAGCAGGAGGTCATGCCCAGAGCAAGACGGGGGCTGACAGCTGCCCCTGAGTGTCTGAGAGGAAAGTGTGTCCTTGTTCCCTAGAGCGCATAGGTGGGTTGGTTTTGTAGACGGACTATGAGCACCCAATGTTGTTGGCTGTAAGGACTGGGAGGCACCACTTTTTCTTGGACCCCTTTTGAAGGTGGCTTGGTGTTATGGATGGGGCCACCGGTCATCAGGCCTCTGATGTGGATAGGTGAGGACCCTGCTTAATAGGCAGAGCAGTGTCAAATGTCATGAACTTGCCACTTCACCATATAGCTGATACAGTTGAAGTTAGGCTTCAGGTATATACCCTGTTGTCCTGTGGTGATGAGGGCCTACACTGCTGAAATGGGCCCACACAGGTCTATGCAGTGGTGAAAGGCACTCAAAATCCATGGACCCCTTATGCCTGTGTCTAAGGAAAGGAGCTCTGCCTACCCTGAGTTCCTGGTTTAGAGGAGCTGGCAGATTATTTTTTCCTGTTTTTTAATTTGTTCCCACTCCAAGGCCAGGAGAATGGCTTGGGGCTTGTGACAGGTCCCACTTCTGGCCCACGTGAATCGGCAATCGCTGAAGCTGGCCTGGGATCCAGTGCAGACTGGGGAGGGGACGGGTAAATGGGAGAGAGGTTTTTCCCAAAGGGGGTGTTTTTTGATCCGTGCAGTAGGTCAGACACATGTACTTATCTTTTTCTGATTGAGCACTGCTTTGCACTGTTTCTGGAAGCATGAGTAGACTCTCTGCCACTTCCTTGGTTTCTCCCGATGTGGAAAATGCCTCCTGAGTGCCACTGCTTGCCTCACGGTGCACGCCAGCCTATCTGGCCTGAAGGGTGCCAGCTCCCACCAGGTCAGGTCTGGCAACTCCTCGTTGCTTCTGAACGGTGTCTCCCTCCCCCACCACTCAGTCTGCTTCCTCAACTTTGCCTTTAATTTTCAGGGCTCCTAGATTGTCATATACAATTCATTCACTTGTTTTTTCAGGTCTTTGTTGTAGAGGGACCACAGGAAGCGTCTGACTACTCCACCATCTTGGCCTCGCCTCCCAAGTTTTAGTTGAATTTTTTGGTTGTTAATTCACGCGTATGTCAATAGTGTAAAGCAGTGGACCTGGAAACCATCTGTAGATCTGGCACCCATCTGTAGCACAGACTTGGTTTTTATATTCAAACAAAAGAATTTTTTTTTCCTGTATCTAAAACCCCAGAGAGATGACAAGAATCTTTGTCACTTCCTCGTTCTGTAGGTAGAGTTTTCTAGCTCTCCTTTCACAAAAGGGCTACCTTAGTGAATATCATCTTTATTCAAGGATCTTGTCGCAAAAACGACCGAATATCCTAATCTGCATGGGTGTTAACATCCCTAATCCTAAACCCTAGGACCTTAATCTCGGTCTGATACACCTCTGGGCAACCATAATCTCAGCTGTGCATTTTCTACCCCAACTTTTCATTTTCTCATTATTGTCAGTACCTGGAGATTTACTCTTTATTTCTTGCAAACCCTAGTGTAGACTTTTTTGTTTATTATTATGTTTCTATCTAGCATTTCTATGTGTTTGAAGTATGAGAGAGGAACCATGCCAAATCATGTTGCCAGGAGTTTGAAAAGTACTCTTCTATGAGTAGATGGTATAGTTCTATACTCACCTGTCACAGCGGTGGCAATTGTCGGGCTGACGGAGACAATAACTAATGCCACAACTCTTACAGAGAAGTGGGGCCAGGAGGGTCACTCTGAGGAGTTGAACCCACCTTCAGTCCCAGGAGTTTATTTTATATTCAATACAGCAAACAGTGAAGCAAATAACAGAACAATGGGCTTTGGGTGAACAACAATAAGCCTCGGGCAAGGGAGGAGGAATTCAGGTAAACAAGCCAATCAGCAACGGGTTTGGAAAAACAAGTCGTGACAAGTCTCAACATGTTGGGGACAAGTCTCAACATGTTGTGCAGCAAAAGAGGCCTTTATACATCCATATTTTAATGTCACATATCCCCACACTCACCATCCACTACTGGTCTCAATAGGCAAGTAGACTTGCTAGTCTCCAGAATAATTCCTGTGGATACGTATTTTAAAACTGAAATCTTAGTCATTCTGTTCAGTTTCCCTTTTAAACATTTCACAAACAGTTTTTGTTGGAAGATGTGTCAGTAAGTGAAGAAATTCTTTCGCCACACTTTTTCTGTCATAATTTGTCATATGAGGAACAATGCATTGATATTTTCTTTATTCATGTAATTGATTATCATTGCATTTCAAATTATTCAGATCTGTGTTTGTTAGACAGACATTGCTATTGTTTATTAATTTATGTTTCAAGATAATTTTATGGGAATTACTAAAATAATATTATGTAATAACTAATGAAATCAGCTCATTTTTTATTGCTTGATAAAATTAATAGGGCTGGAAAAGACATGGATTTTACTGCTATTTGATTGGACACACACTTTCAACATTTACAGAAGCAAACCAAACTTGTGGAAATGAGAAGGCTTATCTAACAACTATTGAAGACAGGTATGTAACTGCTTTAATTTTATTTTAAAGTATATAAAATAATTTAAAAAAATCAGAAACACCTAAGTATGAACATGCTCTAAATTTCTACATAAATTACAAGTCATCTTCAAGTATTGTGTACATAGGTAGAAGCATGAAAAATAATATCCTTATTTGGATTCTTGTAACATTATAAAATATTATGCTACTTATAGTACTGTAAAGCAATATTCAAAAGAGTTACTCTACTAATAATTCAGTAAGTGTAGTTAAAAGATATAACTTTTTTCTGATCTAGTTTATGCCAAATTTTTTAAAGCAAGAATGTGAGTAAAATTTGTTAACTCAAAGTCCTATCTTTACCACCCCCTCCAACAATAAAAAGGACAGACAGATTTTCTGAATGATTCTTTCATTCATTTATTCATTCTTTCCATTCTTCCATTCTTTGTGTTGTTTTGCTTTGCTACATTTACTAGGCTGATAGGCCAAGAAAATCACGTTTTATATAATCAGTGTTTTATATAATTGATCATTTATTGAACACCTCCATATGTCTTTTTGAATACAAAAAGAAACGTGGGCTGAAATGTGGGTCAAATTAGGCTGAAATCATAGATTGACGAACAAGTTCTCAATCAGGGCTGCTGACAGCAATGGCTTCTAAATCTGGCTGAGGTACAGAATTAGGTGTAGATCTTCCAACATTACGGATTCCAGGGACCTACCTCCAAAGATTCTGATTTCATGTGGCTGAGAAGCCCAGGCATCTGTATTTTAAGACTTCCTATGTAATGTTTATCATCAGCCAGATTTGGGAACGACAGGATTAGGGCATCCATGCCGCACTGGATGGAGGCTGTCTGAGAAGATTCTGCAGGTTCTATATTTGTTCAACAAGTTTTTAAAAATCAACAGTTTGAATGAAAACAGGAAAGACCTTCATAGCAAAAGTCCAGAAGACACAAATCTGAGATGTATACCTCATATACCAGATAACGGACTCAAATCTCAAAAAGTCTTAAAAGACCTGGAATAATAAAGCAAAACTAACAAGGCAAAATATAATAGGTACACAGGTAAACTTCTATTTCAAAAATGAAGCAGTTATATAAATCCAGAATGTGTGAAGTCTGAATTAATAGCTCTTTATGTGAAAAGATTTGGGATTTTGAAAACTAATTAGAAGCTTCTTCTGAGCTAGTGCTCTAACCAGTGAAATGAGCTAATATATCATTGATAAATTATATAAATATATAATTGATAAATTTCCATTTCTAAGTCAATTCTCTAAAAATAAGATATTTTGCTACTGTACTTTGTGCTGACTGAAGACTGGGACATTGTACTCTGTATTGGGGCTACACTTCAAAAGAGACCTTGAGGCTGGGGAGGGCAGTTAGATATGTGAAATATTCAATACCTTATCACAGGAGGAATGGTTGAAAGAACTGGGGTTGTTTAGACTGGAAAAATGTAAAGACAGACTCAATGGTGATGTGTAATACCATCATTTCTCCTCAGGGTGCCTGACTTGTTCTGAGTAGGTCCTCAAGAGGGCATTAGGACCATCAACGACAAGTAAGGTTTCATCTCAGGAGAAGAGCACTTTAATCTAAACAATAGCCTCAAATGAGCTTCCAAGAAAATGGCACTTATGTGATTCCAGTCACTGAAATCACTTAAGTGGATGCTGATGTGGTGGGGAGGTTATTATTTTGAACTCTAGAGTCCCATCCATTTTTAAGAGTTTGTTGTTGTTGATGGTAGGTGCCATCGAGTCTATTCCAACTCATAGTGATCCTATAAGACAGAGTAGAACTGCCCCATAGGGTTTCCTGGATTGTAATCTTTATGGATGTAGATCACCATGTCTTTTCTCTCACAGAGGGGCTGGCGGGTTTGAACTGCTGACCTTTCAGTTAACAGCCAAGTGCTTAACCGTTGCACCACCAAGGCTCCTTTTTAAGAGTTTAGTGCTTATCTATTCTTCACCTGTTCTTTGCAAAGCACTGGATTAAGCACAGAAGCAACTTAAAAAGGGCCCATTTCATTTGCAATAAAGAAGTAATAAATTATTGAGTTTTAACACAATAAATTATAGTCATTCACTTTTCAAGGTGGACCCAATAAAAATTTGGGGGACATATTGATATTAAAAATCTTTTGATAAAAAAGAAAGGTGTCATAGCATTTGTACAGTCTCTATGGAAGACCCTGTCTTCAACCAACATTCTTTCATGAACAAAATTAGTATCATGATACAATGCTAGCATCTGAAAATCAGAACATAGATACTTTTTATCCTACGACAAGGAGGTGAGATGCTCATCTTTAAGTACCATGGGAGCATTCTCTGATCTGCATTATAATTGATCTTATGGTCTATTGGAGCACTATGTACAGAGATTTCACTATATTTTAGGTTTCTTTTTCTCTATGTGTTTTCTGTGATTTAATATTCAGCAGCTCACAAGCTGTTGAGAAACTTGGTTTTCAGGCATTTAAGAAAACTTAATTGAGTTTGGAACTTTTAAATTTTTTTGGTTTGTTCCCTTTAGGGAATGAAATTATTCTGACTACGGTCAAACAAATGTCCTATTACTATCGGCTCTTTCTGCCTTACCCTTTTGGCTCTCTCTGGAGTCATGTATGGTTATTTTGTTCCTGGAAACGTTGTTTATGTTTGTCAATCAAGACAAACTTTGGTTCCCTTGCCATCCAAATCATATTTTTACCAGATTATGCCAAATAGTTAGAGGAAAACCCAAAGAGAGAGAGAAAAGTGTTGGAATTTGTGATTCTGCTTCCCAATACTTTCTAGAGATTGAATCTCTGCTTTTCTATATCTCTTGATGTGAGCATGAAATTGAGGGGAAAATTCATGCAGGCATTTCCATTTGTATTATCCTTGATAATGTTACCATCCCTCAACTTAGTTAATCAAGAATTGAGTAGAGTGTTTGGCCTATTTGAAAAGTGGACTGCTTTTGTAAACAAAGTATTTAACAATGCTATAGTTTTTGCCTTTGTGTTTTCAAAATTCTCTTATATTGAAAAAATAATGTGTTTTGGGAAGGGCAGAGAGGCTGGTGAGGAACAGAGTAATGTACTGAATATATTTGAATGATTTTATTCATTCAGTTATATGGTATTTTCCTTATTTAGGCTCATGTGTCCTTGATAAAAATTTATGTAATTTAAGTTACATAAAAATAAAATACAAAACGTTTGAATTACCAACTAAATTATAGCTCAAAAATAGAATTGAGACTTTTTTATGTTGATATTACGAAAAATTTATATAAATTTTTCTAAAATTTAGTTGTATGTTTATTTAATTTTTTAAGATATGAACAAGCCTTTCTGACGAGTTTGGTTGGATTGAGGCCAGAAAGATATTTTTGGACTGGACTTTCAGATGTACAAACCAAAGGAACCTTTCAATGGACCATTGAGGAAGGGGTTCATTTCACCCACTGGAATGCAGATATGCCTGGTATGTGCAGTGCGTTGGTCTGAGGGCTTTATTCAACCTACAAGTCTGTCAGGCAAGCCTGTGGTTCCTTCTTGTGCCTCTCCAAATAGACTGTGTAAATTAATTGCACTTCTAGTAATATTTTATATTTCCTTCTCGCATTGTTTTTCTTTCTTTCTTTTTAATTTCCCAGTTAGTTTGGGGTGTTCTAAGAAAAAAAGGAAGAGGGAATTGCTAGATTATCTAGCTCTGCTATATTTGAAAACTATTTATGAAATCCTAGACGGTCACAAGTGTTCCATTTGGAGCACTTATTTCTGAAAACTTAAAACTATATTATATTGAAGGGATATAAAGCTTTTCAGTGTAACTATGAATAGAAACACTAGTGTGCTTGAGTTGTGGAGCAAGGGATAGTACTTATGTGGACCTCATCCTTTTGATATGTTCCATGTGCCAATGTGTTCAGTCCTGGTGGTACAGTGGTTAAGTGCTCGGCTGCTAATCAAAAGGTCGTTAGTTTCAACCACTAGCCGCTCCGTGGAAAAAAGATGTGGCAGTCTGCTACCATAAAGATTACAGCCTTGCAAACCCTATGGGGCAGTTCTACTCTGTTCTATAGGGTTGCTATTAGTCGGAATCGACTCGTCGGAACTTTTTTTTTTTAATGCCTTGGGTTTTATTTAATCCCTATAAGAATTTGCAAGGTAAGTTTAAGTATCTTCATTTTCAAGATAAGGAGACTGGAACTCAGAAAATTTATGTGACTAGAAGGCTCCTGAGCATGGATTTAGCCTGTAATTTGTGTAACTCCCAAGTCTGTGAAGCACCACTAAGCCTTCCTATACATTTTGATTTGCCTTCCCTTGTAAGAAGTTACAAGTAATTTCTGAAAAAGGATGTGAAAGATGCTTTGCTTTCTTTATACACTGGTATTGCCAGTGTATGACATTATATAGTATGAAAAGAAAACATCCAGGAAAATTCAACATTGTTTATAGCAAATGTTTTATTGTGTATGAGTAAAAAGCTAGAAAAAGAGTAGTCCATCTATGGATTAAATAATTGGCCTAATAAATCCTAATCTTCAGCAGTTCTTTTAATGTGTATTCTAAGCTATCAATAAGGAAACTAGATCAATAATTACGGTAGTGTGATTCTTACTTAATTATTGAACTTTCTGAAAAACAGTAAGATAAAATCGTAAAGGTAATGCTTACCTTTTAAGCAAAATTCCATAACTTGGCCAGTATTGCTCATTCAGCAGTAGGATTCTGAGATTCATCCTGAAATGTCCTTAGGGAATAAAAATAAATCAGTCTGGAGCCATGACTTGGTTGCAACCGTTCTTATTTTATATCCTCGATTGGAGGGTGGTGGTTCCCTCTTAAGGGAGGCTGACCTCTTTGACTGAGTGCACCGTGTTAGGAGGAATGGGCACTAGTTCAGCTGAGGGGATTCTGGCTGTCAGTGGGATGACAGATGGTGCAGCCCCAGTCATCATCCACTCCAGAGTTATTAAATTTTGCTTCAGTACTGATAATGGAAGAAGATTATTATAGGAAATAGAGAAAGGAATTAGGGATCTCAGATGATATTTTGGAAAATGCATTCCTCCCCAGAACTTTGAGAATTACTTCTAAACTCTTAATGTCATTTAAAATAATAATAATAAAAAGCTACCTTCTATTAGCAGCAAGGAATTCTGATGTGGTCAAAGCTCTATCTCAGTTTATTACTATGTGGAAATAACCATGACTGTGAAACAGAATCACAGCTATTAAGCTTAGTGTCTTCTTCATTTTGTATTACGAGTATCAAGTGTGGCATTTTCCACAGCTCTATCAGGTAGCTAATGATATTTGCATTTTAAGATGAAACCAAATCAGAATGATTCTCTGGCTCAGGTATGTGTAGCTTTGAAGTCTGGCTTCACAGCACTGTCCAGGGAGACCTATATGGACCCTAGGAAGAAAAAAGATCCTAAGAAATAAAAAAAAAGAAAATTAAACTGCAATTTTTGCCATCATGGTAAATTTGATCATACTAAAATAATTTTTTTGTTAAGGGCCTATACGTAGGGCATCTTTCCAGATGTCAGGAATACAAAATATTATCAAGACCCCTACAATTTGAGATCATAATTAAGTTGGGGATACAGGGCTAACAAATGAATGGTAACTGTTCAAAGTAGCTCTAGCCAATTGCCAAATGCGGCAGGCTTTCTCCTCTACATTTTCTCATCACATAGATTTCACCACACAATTTGACTCAGTTGGGAAATGTCTTCTGTGAGCATGGTAGGCCTTTAGCAAGCACCAGTTTAATGAATCCCACCTTGTGCTTTCTGTGCAGGACGAAAGGCAGGGTGTGTTGCCATGAGAACGGGGATTGCAGGGGGACTATGGGATGTTTTGAAATGTGATGAGAAGGCAAAATTTGTGTGTAAACACTGGGCAGAAGGAGTAACTCGCCCACCAGAGCCTACCACCACTCCTGAACCCAAATGTCCAGAGGATTGGGGCACCACCGGTAAATCAAGCTTGTGTTTCAAGGTAAGGATCAATTGTAAAGATAAGGAAGAGTTTGGAATATACTTTAGACTAAGGAATCACCTAAGGAATTTAAAAGTAACAACAAAAACAATGTCCAGGCTAAACCCCTAGAAATTCTGATTTTATTGGTCTGGAGGGGGCCTGGGCATCAAAAATTTTTAAAGAGCTCCTTGCTCGGGCGAATGCTAATGACCAGTCAAGGTTGAGAACCGTTGCATTTAGGCCAACAAGCACAAGCGGAACAAGAACTACCAGAAGGCTTTCTTCACCTGCTTTGCCTTTATCACCCCTTCTCTGCTTCTCTTCTTTGTCCTAGGCTTTTTTGTCCTAGTCTGAGCTCACACTTCTTTTCATCTGGATGAAAATTTCTGTTGCCTGTTATGCTGTCCTATAGTATCTCATGTTTGTCTTGCTGTCGGATCCCAAGCTTTTAGCCAACTTAGTTGATAAGCTAATCTCCAGTGATACAACCTAGGCATTCAAGAGATAATGTTCCATTTTTTTCTGATTTAACTCATGATTATCAGAATGGTGGGAGATTAAAGCATTGATAGATAAAGGCACATGGCCTTTCAGTGCCCTTCAAATGACAAGTAGACATTCTACTATTATTTTATACGTTCCTGGGCCAGACTGTCCATTTTCTCTGTATGCAATCAAGTTCACCAAAATAACCAAACAACGAGACAATCAAAAATAGAAACAAAACAAAACAAAAACAAAAATAGAAACACAAAAACAAACAAAATACGGAATGAATCAAGCATTTGGGTCTTTTTTCTCTCTTGTAAGTTATATCTTTTTCTAGAGAAGGTTATACTTAGCAAAAGACAGAAATGTGCTCATTTTCTGCTAAATAATATTATTCTTTAATAGTCCTGTTCTCTGGACTTCCTTTTCTTCAAGCCCTTTGAATGACATATGGCTATGGCATGCCTTGTAAGACAGCTAGTCAAAGCTGATAAAGAAGAACTTGAATTACTAACTTGCATCCGAATGAGGTTGTTCCGTCTTCTTCAGCTCAACAGGGATGTGGCTACTTGTTGGGTTGATCACTCCCACTAGTAACAATAAGAAATCCATGAGCTGTTCAATGCAGAAAGGCCAGTCAAAGGTAAAGTTAATTTACATAGAATGGGATGTATTGGGCTAATACAGGATGGATTTTTATAAATGGTTTATTTGAGGACTAACAAAAAGCAGATCTCTTTCATAAAGAAAAATGAAGTCCTGATACATGCTACAACACAAATGAACCTTGGAAACATTATGTTGAGTGAAATAAGTCTGTCACAAAGGGACAAATATTGTATAATCCCATTCCCACGTATATGAAATATCTAGGATAGGCAAGTGTATAGAGCCCGACATTTATTAGTGGTTACCGGGGACTGGAGGCAGGGAAGGGAAAAGGGGGACTACCTGCCTATGGGACACTGAGCTTCTGTTTAGGAGGATAGAAAAATTTGGAAACGGACAGTAGTGATGGTTGCACAACATGTCATTGAATTGTATGTGTAAAAAATGTTGACATGGCAAAAAAAAAAGAAAATCAGGTACTTTATTGTTACCTTTGGAAATGGTTGAGTTACACAAAAGTCAAGTTCATATAATACACAGCCATTAGTCTGACAGTGGTAGGCTATGGAGATTTGTTGGAGGTGTTTGAGAGAAGCAGCAGAGTTCTCCAGAGCTAGGAAGTAAACCAAGGGTTCCAGTAAGACACTATCCAGGGAGACACTCAACAAATCAAAATATGTGCTTCACAAGAAATCATGTTTTAGAGGTGCTTAGCGTGCTTTTGGGGGCTCTGGTTGCATGGTGGTTAAGAGTTGGCTGCTAACCAAAAGGTCAACAGTTCGAATCTACCAGCCACTCCTGAAAACACTATGGGGCAGTTCTGCTCTGTCCTATAGGGTCACTGTGAGTCAGAATTGACTTGACAGCAATGAGTTTGGTTTTGGGGGGTGCTTTTGAGTTTGCTTGGACTTATATAGACCATCTTTGTAAATAATCAGAATGTGGGAATTATTAACAAAATTCAGATGATAGTAAATTTTATTTAACAAAATAAAATTTTATACCCAGAGTCTAGCAAGTTGAGGTGCTCTACAGAATCTTTGGAGTTAGTGATGTGGAAACGTGCTAAGGGTAACTTTGTCTGCATAGCTCAAGTGAGAATTGAGGTAAAGGTTGCCTCAGTTTGCTTGATGACAGCTTGGCAGTCATAGTCCACTGGGAAACAAATCCCCTTTTCCACTAGGCTATGATGATGGGATTATGCTAAGCAAAAAATCCGAGAAGCTGGATTATATGAAGAAGAAGAACTTGGCATCGGGATTGGAGGAAGTCTCATTAACAACCTTCGATATGCAGATGACACAATTTTGCTTGCTAAAAAAGAGGATTTGAAGAACTGACTGATGAAGATAAAGACAAAGAGAAAAGCATCAAAAGAAAATGGAAGGAGTACACAGAGTTACTGTCCCAAAAAGAATTGATTGATGTTCAACCATTTCAGGAGGTAACGTGATCAGGAACCGATGGTACCGAAGGAAGAAGTCCAAGCTGCACTAAAGGCATTGGGTGAAAAACAAGGCTCCAGGAATTGACAGAATACCAATTAAGATGTTTCAACAAACGGATTCAACGCTGGAAGTGCTCACTCCTCTATGCCAAGAAATTTGACCAACCAACTGAAAGATACCCATATTTATGCCTATTCCTAAGAAAGGGGATTCAACCAAATGCAGAAACTATTGAACAATATCATTAATATCACACGCAAGCAAAATTTTGTAGATCATTCAAAAGCAGCTGCAGCAGTCTATCGACAGGGAACTGCCAGAAATTCAAGCTGGGTTCAGAAGAGGACGTGGAACCA